TTACGCTTCTTTCTGCAGATCGTGCTGCACAGGGAAGAAGATGTGTTTGATTGTGAGTGTGATATGGCATCGGTACATCATCTACTGTCTAAGATCCCACAAGATCTGCCGTACGAACTGCTCATTAGCCGGGCTGGGGATCTCTTCGTCCAATTCCCACCATCTGAGCTATCACGGGAAGCAGCTCTACAACACCAGGCTGAGAGGTAGGACCTGCCACCACCTGTAATCTTATACTCTCATCTGGAGAATGTGATTAATTTTTTAATTTATTAACCTTTGAAATGATTTATCAAACATTCTTATAATGGCTGCTTTTTTAAAGATCTTTTTAAAGAGACATCTTAAAGGGGCATGCCAGGCATCAAAACAGCTTCATCTAAATTAAGTTATGGTGCCAGGAGATCCCTGGAGGCACTCTTACCTCAAGGGGTTACCCCTAAGTTGCCTCCAGCAGCGATGTCCACTCCTCCTCTGGCGGCTGACTCCCCATTCACTAAACTATCATGAGAAAGGTAGGTTTCTGTTCAAGTCAGTTTAGTGAATGGGGAGTCACTGATTGTCTGAGAGTGCCAGCTGACCTCTCTCAGCCAATCAGCAGTGCCCCTGCCCGGCAGCACTCCGCACTTCCTGAATCTGAAAATTAAGAAGCCTGAAGCCACCATGGGAGGAGTTTATATCGCCTCTGAGGCAACTTTGGGGTTAAACCGTTCAAGACTGGTTTAACCCCTTGAGGTAAGAGTTCCTCCTGGTACCATAACAACTTCATTTAACTTAAGTTGTTTTAATGCCTGGAGTGTCCCTTTAAGAACTAAAACAACTTTAGCTTACTGAAACAGTTTTGGTATACAGATCATGTCCCTGCACTCACTGCTAAATTCTTTAGGAATTAAGTCTCTTTTTGTTTCTCTTTATGCAGCCCTGACGGTGATTTAAACAGCCTACATGAAAACAAAAATAATTTTATAATTTTCAGTCAGATCATACAGCAAAGTTATCTTCTCTGTTATTTGAACTTTAGCCACACGCAGGAAGCTCTAGCATGCTATTTAAAAGAACATGAGATAAGAAATTCTAAATTAAACACACTGTGCAATAAAGGATGTTTGAAAATTACAAGTCTTTTCAGGAGTGTGTAGGAAGGCTGTGTCAGTCACAGCCAGGGCAGGTGTGGCTAAGGCTGCATAAACAGAACCAAAAGTGATTTAACTCCTAAATGACTGAAAATTGAGCATTGAAACTGCAGGGGCATGATCTATACACTAAAACTGCTTCATTAAACTAAAGTTTATTTTTGGTGACCATAGTGTCCCTTTAATGTCTGTAATATTCTTACATCAGACTATTGAGCAGTATACCAACCTTGGACTACAGTATATTGGTATAATTACCATTCTATAGAATTAAATAAACTTGGATCCATACGTATATACCGGCAAGTAATCTCAACCTAGTGTTTAAACCAGGGCTGGTATTATCTTATTCTGAGTACCGTCCAGCCTTGCATGCCAAGTAATCACAAGACAGGATAGTGTTTCACTTGATGGCTGTTTTCTTTTCCAGGACTGCAGCATCAACCTTCAAAGACTTTGAGTTGGCATCCACTCAGCAGCATCCTGATATGGTCCTTCGCCGTCGCTTCCGCCACGAGCCTGTCCTTCCGGAACACGGAGCAAAGTCCGTCCTTACCAAGCCACGGACCAACAGACTAGTGAAGTTGGCTGTCATGGGTCTGACCGTAGCCCTGGGTGCAGCTGCTCTGACTATAGTGAAAAGCGCTCTGGAATGGGCTCCTAAATTTGAACTGCAGATCTTCCCATGAGCACTACTGTGTGAGTGCTCCTGGGGGCGCACCGTTGAACCCCCACCAAGGATTTATAAACTCACTCTAGTTCCCTGTGAGAGAATTTGTTGGAAATGGACTTGGTAACCACATCTGTGCCTCTGGATCCTCCTAGCACTCCCTGCATTGCCCATCCTCTTCTCATCCGTGACTTCGTTACCACTTTCGTGCCCTGGGAACGTCCGGCCGCACGCTCAGAGCTGGACATGACTCTATGCTTTGCTTGCCATGATTTCTAAACAAAACCACACACACTCTTGACTTGGAGCCTTCCTGGCGTGGTGTACACAGGCACATTATTAACATGTATATAAAGTTGTATAGATCTCTCACTCACTATAATATAAATCTTTAACACTCCCTTTTCATGTTTGCTATGTTTGTCCAGCCTGAACGTCTTCCATATAATCTGGGGCAAAATGCTCCATCATCTCACACGATACAGGTTGCCTCTGCTACTTACAGCTTAAAAGATTACAATAATCACCACATTTAATAGAAATCTTTATTTTTTTAGGCTTTTATTATAAATATATATAATATATCCTTTTTTTTTTTTTTTTTATCCATTGTGTTTGTCAAATGTTTTATTCTCATCAGTCAATATACCTGTTTACACACTGCCAGTCTTCCAATTTAAAAAAAATCTCAATTTGCACCGTTACAGAAGCTGTTTTTCCTGCATCTCTCACCGAAGGACCAACAGTGGAGATTTGGTCTGAACACTGGAGATAGACTGACAAGTCAAAGGAATGTCCGGTGAACATTATCACAGCATATTGTGATTGGCTTAACAGACCTAGACTTTATTAATAGGGATGGTATAATATGCATGCCACTAATTAAAAATACACATCGGTATAGGTTTACCATTTCTATTTATTTTTAATGCATTAAAAATAAAATTGACACCATCCCTGCATGTCCTCCTTTTATAGAAAGTGTCTGGCTGTGATCCTTCTGCTATTATATTCTGTACCGGGAAAAGACTGAGATCTCTCAAAGCAAGGTTTTACTATAAGCTACTGAAGTACACTTGGACAAAGGATGCCACTCCCAGGATCTCATTAGTTAACGGTGGGGGTGAGATAAAAAAGAAAGTTAATGTGCGTGAATTGAAGCAGCTGGTGGCTTTTAACCCCTTATGTGACGTGTCATGATTCCCTTTTATTCCAGAAGTTTGGGCCTTAAGGGGTTAATGTGGTTTTAGTTTGTGCATTAAATGAGTACGACCCCGTGAAGCTGTTAAAGCATGCCCCACAAACCTTTTCTTCAACCTTTAAACACAAACTTTTTGTTACACTTTTCATTTCCTTAAATGAAAACATGCTGCTGTGAATATCTTGGACGTGTTGTAGATGGTGCTTAACAAATCTCTCCACCAGGCTTCATTCTGTCACTATAGGTGACGGCACGTGGATGTGAAATGGCAGGCCTCTCTCTCTTCCTCTCGCATAGTGAGCACTTTATTCTAATAATCTCACGGCTCAACGTCACTCAGTACAAAACATTGATCATTTGTAAGGTGCAAGCACATCTTGCAAGGCCCTGTTTAGCTTAATTCCCCTCCTACTACTCTGTGAGCATTAACCCAACGCACAGACAGTTTGAAATTCCGTGGCCATTTATTTATGAAGCTGCAGTCCTTCAACAGACATCGAATAAACAAGCAGGAGATTTGTTACTTTTTCTTCTGAATGTGTTACCATTTTATTTTACAGTATGTGTGTGCACAAATAGAATTCATCATTTAAATTGCAATAAATTATAATGGAATTGGGAAAACTTCTCGCAGGTAGCTCTGCAGTCAGTTAGGTTGCTTTGGCCTAGAATTTGAAAATCACTTTAACGAATAATCCTGTGACATTTCTTTGGTCCTATTCAGTTTATTTTGTAACCCTTGCAGTGTATGTCTGGCCATTTCCCAGTTTATCTGTTTCGGAAAGTTGGGTTACTAAACCTCTGCTTAAATGTTCACCCTAAAAACTTCCCAGTAAGTTAAAGGAACAGTATAGGGACAGTGTCCCTATTGCACTTAGTGCTGCAATGTTAAACATTGCGGTTACAGAGAAACTGGATGGTTACATTGCAGCACTAAGTCTGCCACCAGTGGCTGGCTACTAGACAGCCACTAGAGGGCTTCCTGTATCGAAATGGACCTTTGGTCCGGTAACTGATGCTGGATGTCCTCACACTCTGCATGATTCAATGCTTTCCTATGGGCAGGTCTAATGAGGCAGAGCCGCAAGTAAATAAAGTGTTTTTAACGCTTTGTTGGCCACCATTGGGGGAGTGGGGGGAGAGCAGAGGGACCCATAGTGCCAGGAATACAGCTTGGTATTCCTGGCACTTACAGTATCCCTTTAACACTATTTGCCTACTTTTACTTCCTTGTTTGCTGTCCCCTATTTAGAACTTTCACAGGGCTCTTCACTTAAGCAAAATTTCAAGGTGAATTTTGTATTTGAGGTCAAAATAACCAAACTGTGAAAATTTGCTAAGTCAGCTTTCAGTTTGGCTGCTCGGGCATTAAATTGTAGATTCTCTTTGAATTCTCACTTTATTGAATATCTGTGTCAGTGCTGTGAGCCAATCATCTTCTTCCAACACTCAGACGTTGGTTAAAGTGTTTTTCATACAAGTGCTAGTTATTCCTCAATACCTTGCAGTGTTTAGAGGAGGAGGACACCAGATCTGTGCATAGGTACACAGCTCTATCTCCTTCCTCTGAAGTAGAGACTGAGGGATTTGTGATGTACCTAATATTATTACCATCCCGATCTTCCAGAGGTAGAACAGGGTAGGATATCTTCTCCTTATTATCTTATCTGTAGCAGAAGCTTTTTTGGTCCTTGAATTCGGATTCCAACTCGTCTAAGTTTGGCTACTACCATCTGCAACCTGACGGCTTAGACCAGGCATAGGCAACCTTCGGCACTCCATATGTTTTGGACTACACCTCCCATGATGCTTTGCCAGCATTATAGGTGTGAGAGTATTATGGGGGATGCCAATGGTTGCTTAACCCTGGTTTAGACATTAACATATACTTTGATTAAGTCAGTGATTTCGTGTAGTAGTAAACATCTACTGCCAAGAGAATATTGCCGAGATCATTTCAGTTTTTCCACTACAATCCCCACAACACTCAACCAGTCTTAAGGATGGGTAAGCATTATAGGAAGTGTAGTTAATAAACCTCTGGGATTCAAGATTAGCCATCACTGAGTTAGAGTGGTAAATACACTGTGTTCTCATACCCATTGAATAAATAGTTTGCTTATTCTGTACAATGTCTGCCCCTGTAGTCTTATATTGATGTGTTATCTATAAAATAAAATCTGCTAGAATATCCTATATGCATTTATATATCGATTTCTGTGTAACGGGATTCCATATAGTGTTGAGTTCTATAATAAACCGTTCTTATTTATACATTTTCCCCTTGGCAAGGGAGTGGAGACATTTAAAGATCAGAGATAAGGTAAGCCGGTGTCTATGCACTCTGGGGATCATCGCTGATGGCTTCTGAGAGATGATCTTCAGAGTCTGCTGTGTTTTTGGCAGCCTGCCTTAATATCCTATCTCCTTATTGAGAGAGGGAGAAGAAGAGGGATTATGCAGCCAGTAGCATGTCTCATAGAAAACGCACCCATGGCCTATAATGCATGCTTATCACTGCAGTGTTCAGGACTGTTAAATGCTGCAATCCACCACTTGGAGATTTACATCAGATTGTTAAAACCAAACTGTTAAAATTCCCACTTCAATGAAACCGAGAAAAATGTAATGATTTTCTTTCAAGGTGGAACGAACTCCAAGTGCGACCGCTCTGTGCACAGTGCTTATACAGCACATTTATATAATTACATATTTATAGGATTTTACTTTTAAATTCTGTGGAGCTTATTCAATAAGCAGTGAGACAACAAGTTGGAAAATGCAGGCTGAGAATGGGCAATTTGAAGACAAAAAAAGCTCTCCCAAAGTGGCCTAGTAAGGGATTTTTCCAACTTCACAGATTTGGCCTCTGTTTTTGCAAGATTTCATATAACCACAGTTCAAAGTTTAGCGAATGTTAGGGTTCTGTCAGGTTATATACTGAGAGCTGCAGGGTTCAATGTTAGGTTTATAGGAAGTTGTATACTGAGAGATGCAGGGCTCAATGTTGGGGTTCTGGGAAGTTGTATACTGAGAGCTGCAGGGCTCAATGTTAGGGTTCTGGGAAGTTGTATACTGAGAGCTGCAGGGTTCAATGTTGGGGTTCTGGGAAGTTGTATACTGAGAGCTGCAGGGTTTTGGGAAGTTGTATACTGAGAGATGCAGGGCTCAATGTTAGGGTTCTGTCAGATTGTATAGTTGTATACTGAGAGCTGCAGGGTTCAATGTTGGGGTTCTGGGAAGTTGTATACTGAGAGCTGCAGGGTTCAATGTTGGGGTTCTGGGAAGTTGTATACTGAGAGCTGCAGGGTTGAATGTTGGGGTTCTGGGAAGTTGTATACTGAGAGCTGCAGGGCTCAATGTTAGGTTTATAGGAAGTTGTATACTGAGAGCTGCAGGGCTCAATGTTAGGTTTATAGGAAGTTGTATACTGAGAGCTGCAGGGTTCAATGTTAGGGTTCTGTCAGATTGTATACTGAGAGCTGCAGGGCTCAATGTTAGGGTTCTGGGAAGTTGTATACTGAGAGCTGCAGGGTTCAATGTTGGGGTTCTGGGAAGTTGTATACTGAGAGCTGCAGGGTTCAATGTTGGGGTTCTGGGAAGTTGTATACTGAGAGCTGCAGGGTTCAATGTTAGGGTTCTGGGAAGTTGTATACTGAGAGCTGCAGGGTTTTGGGAAGTTGTATACTGAGAGCTGCAGGGTTCAATGTTAGGGTTCTGGGAAGTTGTATACTGAGAGCTGCAGGGTTTTGGGGTTCTGGGAAGTTGTATACTGAGAGCTGCAGGGTTCAATGTTAGGGTTTTGGGAAGTTGTATACTGAGAGCTGCAGGGTTCAATGTTAGGGTTCTGGGAAGTTGTATACTGAGAGCTGCAGGGTTCAATGTTGGGGTTCTGGGAAGTTGTATACTGAGAGCTGCAGGGTTCAATGTTGGGGTTCTGGGAAGTTGTATACTGAGAGCTGCAGGGTTCAATGTTCGGTTTCTGGGAAGTTGTATACTGAGAGCTGCAGGGTTCAATGTTCGGTTTCTGGGAAGTTGTATACTGAGAGCTGCAGGGTTCTGGGAAGTTGTATACTGAGAGCTGCAGGGTTCAATGTTGGGGTTCTGGGAAGTTGTATACTGAGAGCTGCAGGGTTCAAGTTGTTAGGAGCTTTTGGGTTCTGGGAAGTTGTATTCTGAGAGCTGCAGGGCTCAATGTTTGGCTTCTGGGAAGTTGTATACTGAGAGCTGCAGGGTTCAATGTTCGGTTTCTGGGAAGTTGTATACTGAGAGCTGCAGGGTTCTGGGAAGTTGTATACTGAGAGCTGCAGGGTTCAATGTTAGGGTTCTGGGAAGTTGTATACTGAGACTTGCAGGGTTCAATGTTGGGGTTTTGGGAAGTTGTATATTGAGAGCTGCAGGGCTCCATGTTTGGCTTCTGGGAAGTTGTATACTGAGAGCTGCAGGGTTCAATGTTCAGTTTCTGGGAAGTTGTATACTGAGAGCTGCAGGGTTCAATGTTTGAGTTCTGGGAAGTTGTATACTGAGAGCTGCAGGGTTCAATGTTAGGGTTCTGGAAGGTTGTATACTGAGAGCTGCAGGGTTCAATGTTAGGGTTCTGGGAAGTTGTATACTGAGAGCTGCAGGGTTCAATGTTCGGTTTCTGGGAAGTTGTATTATGAGAGCTGCAGGGTTCAATGTTCAGTTTATGGGAAGTTGTATACTGAGAGCTGCAGGGTTGAATGTTTGGTTTCTGGGAAGTTGTATACTGAGAGCTGCAGGGTTCAATGTTAGGGTTCTGGGAAGTTGTATACTGAGAGCTGCAGGGTTCAATGTTCGGTTTCTGGGAAGTTGTATACTGAGAGCTGCAGGGTTCAATGTTCATTTTGTGGGAAGTTGTATACTGAGAGCTGCAAGGCTCAATGTTAGGGTTCTGGGAAGTTGTATACTGAGAGCTGCAGGGTTCAATGTTAGGTTTATGGGAAGTTGTATACTGAGAGCTGCAGGGTTCAATGTTGGGGTTCTGGGAAGTTGTATACTGAGAGCTGCAGGCTGAGAGTGCACCTGCAGCCAGTATTTCTGTTCCTTTTAGATAACTGATTTTGCAGCCAGTTTTCTGTTCCTTTTAGATTAGATTTACTTGGAGTAATATCCTGCGTTACCCTCTGCATTTTCCATTGGTACTGACTAAGCTACATCTCTGCCTACAGAGATTTTGATTCTGTAATACTATAGTTACTCAATAATGCTCCACAACACCCTCGTAATATCAGTATTCTGCAATGCTTTACAATACCTGCCAGAATCCTGGTTACTCTGTGATACTCAGCAATCCCCTGATTAGTTCTGGTTACTCTGTGATACTCGGCAATCCCCTGATTAGTTCTGGTTACTCTGTGATACTCGGCAATACCCTGATTAGTTCTGGTTACTCCGTGATTCTCTGCAATCCCCTGATCCGTTCTGGTTACTCTGTATTACTCAGCAATACCCTGATTAGTTCTGGTTACTCTGTATTACTCAGCAATACCCTGATTAGCTCTGGTTACTCTGTATTACTCAGCAATACCCTGATTAGTTCTGGTTACTCTGTATTACTCAGCAATACCCTGATTAGCTCTGGTTACTCTGTATTACCCAGCAATACCCTGATTAGCTCTGGTTACTCTGTATTACTCAGCAATACCCTGATTAGTTCTGGTTACTCTGTATTACTCAGCAATACCCTGATTAGCTCTGGTTACTCTGTATTACCCAGCAATACCCTGATTAGTTCTGGTTACTCTGTATTACTCAGCAATACCCTTAGTTCTGGTTACTGTGTGTTACTCAGCAATACCCCGATTAGTTCTGGTTACTCTGTATTACTCCGCAATACCCCGATTAGTTCTAGTTACTGTGTGTTACTCAGCAATCCCCTGATTAGTTCTGGTCACTCTGTGATACTCAGCAATACCTTGATTAGTTCTGGTTACTCTGTATTACTCAGCAATACCCTGATTAGTTCTGGTCACTCTGTGATACTCGGCAATCCCCTGATTAGTTCTGGTTACTCTGTATTACTCGGCAATACCCTGATTAGTTCTGGTCACTCTGTGATACTCGGCAATCCCCTGATTAGTTCTGGTTACTGTGTGTTACTCAGCAATACCCTGATTAGTTCTGGTTACTCTGTATACTCAGCAATACCCTGATTAGTTCTGGTTACTGTGTGTTACTCAGCAATACCCTGATTAGTTCTGGTTACTCTGTATTACTCAGCAATCCCCTGATTAGTTCTGGTTACTGTGTGTTACTCAGCAATACCCTGATTAGTTCTGGTTACTCTGTATAACTCAGCAATACCCTGATTAGTTCTGGTTACTCTGTGTTACTCAGCAATACCCTGATTAGTTCTGGTTACTGTGTATTACTCAGCAATACTCTGATTAGTTCTGGTTTCTCTGTGATACTCGGCAATCCCCTGATTAGTTCTGGTTACTGTGTGTTACTCAGCAATACCTTGATTAGTTCTGGTTACTCTGTATAACTCAGCAATACCCTGATTAGTTCTGGTTACTCTGTGTTGCTCAGCAATACCCTGATTAGTTCTGGTTACTCTGTATAACTCAGCAATACCCTGATTAGTTCTGGTAACTCTGTGATACTCGGCAATCCCCTGATTAGTTCTGGTTACTTTGTGTTACTCGGCAATACCTTGATTAGTTCTGGTTACTCTGTATTACTCGGCAATACCCTGATTAGTTCTGGTCACTCTGTATTACCCAGCAATACCCTGATTAGTTCTGGTTACTCTGTATTACTCAGCAATACCCTGATTAGTTCTGGTTACTCTGTATTACTCAGCAATACCCTGATTAGTTCTGGTTACTCTGTATTACTCAGCAATACCCTGATTAGTTCTGGTTACTCTGTATTACTCAGCAATACCCTGATTAGCTCTGGTTACTCTGTATTACCCAGCAATACCCTGATTAGTTCTGGTTACTCTGTATTACTCAGCAATACCCTGATTAGTTCTGGTTACTCTGTGTACCCTTAGTTCTGCTGTGTGTTACTCAGCAATACCCCGATTAGTTCTGGTTACTCTGTATTACTCCGCAATACCCCGATTAGTTCTAGTTACTGTGTGTTACTCAGCAATCCCCTGATTAGTTCTGGTCACTCTGTGATACTCAGCAATACCTTGATTAGTTCTGGTTACTCTGTATTACTCAGCAATACCCTGATTAGTTCTGGTCACTCTGTGATACTCGGCAATCCCCTGATTAGTTCTGGTTACTCTGTATTACTCAGCAATCCCCTGATTAGTTCTGGTCACTCTGTGATACTCGGCAATCCCCTGATTAGTTCTGGTTACTGTGTGTTACTCAGCAATACCCTGATTAGTTCTGGTTACTCTGTATTACTCAGCAATACCCTGATTAGTTCTGGTTACTGTGTGTTACTCAGCAATACCCTGATTAGTTCTGGTTACTCTGTATTACTCAGCAATCCCCTGATTAGTTCTGGTTACTGTGTGTTACTCAGCAATACCCTGATTAGTTCTGGTTACTCTGTATAACTCAGCAATACCCTGATTAGTTCTGGTTACTCTGTGTTACTCAGCAATACCCTGATTAGTTCTGGTTACTGTGTATTACTCAGCAATACCCTGATTAGTTCTGGTTTCTCTGTGATACTCGGCAATCCCCTGATTAGTTCTGGTTACTGTGTGTTACTCAGCAATACCTTGATTAGTTCTGGTTACTCTGTATAACTCAGCAATACCCTGATTAGTTCTGGTTACTCTGTGTTACTCAGCAATACCCTGATTAGTTCTGGTTACTCTGTATAACTCAGCAATACCCTGATTAGTTCTGGTAACTCTGTGATACTCGGCAATCCCCTGATTAGTTCTGGTTACTCTGTATTACTCAGCAATACCCTGATTAGTTCTGGTTACTGTGTATTACTCAGCAATACTCTGATTAGTTCTGGTTTCTCTGTGATACTCGGCAATCCCCTGATTAGTTCTGGTTACTCTGTATTACTCAGCAATACCCTGATTAGTTCTGGTTACTCTGTATTACTCAGCAATACCCTGATTAGCTCTGGTTACTCTGTATTACCCAGCAATACCCTGATTAGTTCTGGTTACTCTGTATTACTCAGCAATACCCTGATTAGTTCTGGTTACTCTGTATTACTCAGCAATACCCTTAGTTCTGGTTACTGTGTGTTACTCAGCAATACCCCGATTAGTTCTGGTTACTCTGTATTACTCCGCAATACCCCGATTAGTTCTAGTTACTGTGTGTTACTCAGCAATCCCCTGATTAGTTCTGGTCACTCTGTGATACTCAGCAATACCTTGATTAGTTCTGGTTACTCTGTATTACTCAGCAATACCCTGATTAGTTCTGGTCACTCTGTGATACTCGGCAATCCCCTGATTAGTTCTGGTTACTCTGTATTACTCAGCAATCCCCTGATTAGTTCTGGTCACTCTGTGATACTCGGCAATCCCCTGATTAGTTCTGGTTACTGTGTGTTACTCAGCAATACCCTGATTAGTTCTGGTTACTCTGTATTACTCAGCAATACCCTGATTAGTTCTGGTTACTGTGTGTTACTCAGCAATACCCTGATTAGTTCTGGTTACTCTGTATTACTCAGCAATCCCCTGATTAGTTCTGGTTACTGTGTGTTACTCAGCAATACCCTGATTAGTTCTGGTTACTCTGTATAACTCAGCAATACCCTGATTAGTTCTGGTTACTCTGTGTTACTCAGCAATACCCTGATTAGTTCTGGTTACTGTGTATTACTCAGCAATACTCTGATTAGTTCTGGTTTCTCTGTGATACTCGGCAATCCCCTGATTAGTTCTGGTTACTGTGTGTTACTCAGCAATACCTTGATTAGTTCTGGTTACTCTGTATAACTCAGCAATACCCTGATTAGTTCTGGTTACTCTGTGTTACTCAGCAATACCCTGATTAGTTCTGGTTACTCTGTATAACTCAGCAATACCCTGATTAGTTCTGGTAACTCTGTGATACTCGGCAATCCCCTGATTAGTTCTGGTTACTCTGTATAACTCAGCAATACCCTGATTAGTTCTGGTAACTCTGTGATACTCGGCAATCCCCTGATTAGTTCTGGTTACTTTGTGTTACTCGGCAATACCTTGATTAGTTCTGGTTACTCTGTATTACTCGGCAATACCCTGATTAGTTCTGGTTACTGTGTGTTACTCAGCAATACCTTGATTAGTTCTGGTCACTCTGTGATACTCAGCAATACCCCGATTAGTTCTGGTTACTCTGTATTACTCGGCAATACCCTGATTAGTTCTGGTTACTCTGTATTACTCGGCAATACCCTGATTAGTTCTGGTTACTGTGTATTACTCAGCAATACTCTGATTAGTTCTGGTTACTGTGTATTACTCAGCAATACTCTGATTAGTTCTGGTTACTCTGTGATACTCGGCAATACTCTGATTAATTCTGGTTACTTTGTGATACTTTGTAACACCGTGATTAGTTCTGGTTAAAATGCAATTCTCTGCAACATTTCCTGTGGTATATGTGAAACCACTGACCTCATATGACTCCATTTTTTTTATGTATTATTAATGAATGTTACTTTGAATATTTCCACAATACTCGGTTGTTCCTGTAACATGTTTCCATTTTAAATGTAACTAAGTGAGTACTTCATAAAACAGGATTATTCTTAGGGATCTATTCACCAAACGGAAAATTAACAGTAGCTGTTGTCACATTTTGGCCAATTTGTTTATTTAAGCTGAATTTGCACATCCAGTCTTGTAAAGTGAGCCAAATCTCAATATATTCTCAAACAGTCGAATTGCAACCAAATTGCCTTCATTCAGTAGATTTAATTCCCCTGATACGCACCAAGGAATTGCATTATCAATGGAAGCCTCTCCCTAATACTAAATCACCCTCATGCTACCCTAAACCCCCTTAAAGCAACACTTCATGCACCATAACCACTGCTGCCTACTGTAGAGGTTTTCTGGCACCTTCCCAAAGTAGTAACATTTTTTTTGAGCATGGTCTGACAACCTACCTGGGGTGTCGGAGCGCTGTGCAACTTCGCTTGTGCTGTGGTAAGCAGAGCTAACGGAAGCTCGTTGCAGAAACATCTGTCTCCACAGTAGGAAGTGATTAGTGTCAAACCATCCTCAGTTTATTTACCCTGGGAGGGCACCAGGGAACTTTTGGTACCATAACCACTACAGAAGCTGAACAAAATCAGACTTATTGCAAAAGCAAATCTTTCTTTCTACGCAGGTTGTGAAACACAAATTACTTCTAATACCTTGGGGTCTCCATAATATTCAGTTAGTCTGATCCATCCATACACAGGTCGAGAAATAATTGCAAGACACAATTCTTAAATGTATTTATTTGCTCATAATTTTTTCCAGAGATTATGGCCCCCACCATGATATTGCACCCACCCCTATACCCTCCCAACCAATCTCAACCCCCCCCCACCCCCATCCCCCATGTTCCCTCTGCCACCTGGCAAGAATCCAAGGTCAAAGTTTTGGGTTTATTTAGCATTTATCCATAAAAAGTATGAACTTGGCTCTATTCCAAGGAGGTTTAAAATGTGCAAAGAAAGCAAATCCAGGAGACGTGACAGTGACAGCATATAACCCACTCACTCTGTGCCTCCACCCAAAGGTAAGCCCCACTTAGTGCTTCAACCCACAAGTATTGTTCCTACTCAGTGCCTCCATCCACAGGTAATATTCCCATTCAGTGCCTCCATCCATAGGTAATGTTCCATTAAGTGCCTTCACGCCAGTAGTAACCCCTCTACCCCCATGCAGTGCCTCCACATCATTGTAAACCAACTAACACAATGCCTCCACTCTCATTGGAACCCAACTTCATGATGCAACCACTCCACTGGAAACTCAACCTCTCAGTGCCTCCAGGCTCTACCTCACTGCATACCCACAAACTTAGCATTGCCACCTGAGTACATAATCACCCACCCTGTGCCTAACTCCACTAATTAACCCCCACCCCTCACACACTCATTGCATCTGCCCACCTATTCAGTGTCTGCACTCCACTGCAAACCCATCCAACAGTTGCCTCTTGGCCAATAATAGCCCACCCACAACCTGCCTCCACCACATTAGTAACCAAATGAAATGACGCAACTACCCCTCTGGGAGACCAACTATGTAATTCCATGTATCCAACCATTGGTATCCAAATAAACTACTGCCACCACCTCACTAATGATCTGCAAATTAGTGTGTGCACCCCACTTGTAACCTAAACATTCAGTCCCTCCAGTCTATCCAAGTCCTAAATATTGTAAGCCTACTGTACACCTAAATGGTCATTGATAACCCAAACATGTAGCACCTTCGCCCAATACCAGATGTTCCATGACCTTGCCTTGGTGAAATCCCAAATGTTCAGTGCCTCCACCTTTACTGATAACCCAAACATTGAATAGCCTCCATCCAGTCGATAAACCAAATGTTTAGTGCCTCTGTCCAACTGATCTAAACATTTACTTCTTCCACCCCACTGATAAGCTAACTTTTCGGTAACTCCACTAATAACCCACTCCATGCCTTCTCTGCACTGGTAACACAACTGATCAGATCCTTATCCCTGCTGGTAACATTGTAACACAAAAGTCTTGAGTTTGGTCAATATTCCACAAATCGCCTACATTCTAAGTCCTTACAATCATATAAGAAATCCCTGCATTAATCTTCGGTTCCTGAGCTTGTCAATACCAGGAGGGGGGAATGAGCTGAAAAACACCCCCATCCCAAGTAGTCTACCCCAACCCAGTGGAAAATAGCCCAGACCCCAAAGGAAAAAAAAAGATAATCCCACCCGGAGTATCCAGGCCAATCCTGAGGGATGTACCCCAATCCCAACCCTCCAGTACACCCACCCCAAAGGAATATACCCATTGTAGTGGCACTCTCTGTTATGCTGGTTGTGTGTTTTCTCTGATCATACACACATAGCGTCATGGGTAGAGATAGTTACACTTACACTAGATTAAGGGTGAGGAAAGGGCTGTCTGATATATATATATATATATATATAGAGAGAGAGAGAGAGAGTATATATCCTGTGCGAATACTGTCAGAGTGTAATAATCCTTCCTCGCTGCACACAGACATTGGGAGATATTAAAGCAAGTACGCATATCAGCACAGACACTGGGACAACTGGTGAGATTAACGTCATATGTATATATATATATATATATATATATATATATATATATATATAAATATATATATATATTCATATGACGTTAATCTCACCATATATATATATATATATATATATATATATAGAGTAACACGTGAGCTGGTGAGAGACACAAAGCCAGACAGAGCTTAGCATATACAGACAGTGATGAGGTTCAGTGGTGTGGAATAGTGGCTTATCCAATCCCTTCTATATGGGGGTATTTGAGGTCATTTAGACTTCCTGAGAGCTCCTGAGGATAGACAGTGGTGGTGGAGGAAGGGGAAGCTGGAGGGTCTTCTCCTGAGGTTTATTGAAGGTTTCGTGGCCCCTGAAATATTAAGGGGGATCCTGAGGTTCAGTCCTGAGGTTACAGTGTATACAGAAAAATAACAGTTTGTCCTGAGGATTCTTTTTAGAGAAGGGGAGGGGAGGGGTTGACGTTTGGGATTACATAAGGGGCTGGGATATTTATAGCTGCGTATATATATTGCAGTAGACTGGCACAGGCACATACAGTCAGACATGCACACATGTACATAAGACACAGATATATATGTTTGTGTGTGTGTGTGTATAAAATTTGTATGTTCATATCACACACACACACACACACACATGTATACATATTTTTGTGGATCTTACCTGCCTCTTGTGAACCTGGATTGGAGCTTTCTCTCTACGGATGGACTCCAGGGATCACAATTGGCCCCTATAAATTTGGGATTTGGGGCGAGGTTCTCTAACAGACATACCATGGACATGCAGTATGTGTGATGGCATGTGTCTGTCTGTCTGTGTGCCAAAGAGACGAGTGAGTTGAAGAATAAGACAGACAATCAGCACAAGAGAGAGTGCCCTGGTTAGCTATAGAGTAGAAGAGCACTCTGATTTGACAGCCAGAACTGGAATTGCAAGGAGAGTGCACGACACAGCATTCCGAAAGGGTTCGAAGAGACAGCAAGAGTTAAAGACAGCAAATTGCACCTTGAGGAACAGAAGTGAGAGTGCTCAGAGAGACAGCATCCGAAAAGAGACAGCACCCTGAGGAACATCAGAATCTTCTGAGACACAGTAAGTATCTCAAATAGACAGCAAAGTTGGCTCGTAGTGACTGCAGAGAAAAAAGGCTTCGTGACACCAACCATGTCTTTAGTTGGTGGGGAATGTGGGCAGTTCCACAGAGTGTTACCTGCTGCCGGAGGTTTGGAGATCTCTCGATAGGTCAGTAGGAGAAGACGAGATCAGACACGCTGTCCAGCAGACCGTTACCAGAGATCATCTCCACCACCTCAGGTGTGCAGTGATCAGGAAACTCGAAATGAGATCCAGTATGGGGCAGTAACTCCCTGTCCAAGGGGACGCAAAGTCCTGGCAGCTTTTCCTCCAAACCTTCGTCTTCTTTGACCGGCTCTGGGGAGGATGGTAACGAATGGGCATGGGTAGGCTGGGCAGACGAGTAGGGGGGCAACTCTGGGCTGCGTGCTGATGACTCCCGAACCTGCGTCTCTTCTGATTGGACAACTTTGTGCCCCCCCCACCCGGGGTTGTCCTCTCCCCAGTGCATGCCGGATCCCAAATTCACTTCCGATTGGCATGGCGTGCGAGCAGGCTGGCACCTAGACGTGGTACGGGGCAGCCTGGTACGAGTTCTGCCAGTTGGGTCCCGTGTGCGTCGGCGTGGACGGTATTTGTAGTTTGGATAGTCAGCCATGTGTTTGAGCCTCAGACGCTCAGCTTCACGGACGTATGGAATTTTGTCAGTGTCCTCTAGTAACTTCCAGCGCTGGCCAAGACTGCGAGAGATGTCGGCGTTGTGCATGTTGGGACACAGAGACATCAGCTTCCGTCTTTCAATCTGAGACCACACCATGAAGGCATTCATTGGACGTTTTATGTGACCACTGGGGGTCTTACACCAACTGGGCCCCCCTGGGGCAGCATCTGGAGTTTTTTGGTTGCCCACCACCGTCTTGTGCTGCACCATCCTGAGACTTGTTATAAAAAGTTGCTACACTATAGCCATACTGTCTTCACTAGTCAGTAGCACGATATGTAGAACGTTCGGAAGGAGGAGGGGGGGGAGAGTCAATGCTGCAGGAGGGCAAAGCAGGACACGGGAGAGTGGAGGGGGTGCAGACTAATCAAGGGGGAATAGGAAACAGATGGGTAGCACGTTACAGAGGGCAACAGGGCTCTCAGCATGAATAGTGTGTGCAGAGGAATGTAGGGCATGCAGGGTGAGAAAGATATGGAAAGACAAGTATTAGGGGGCAGCAGGATTGAAAATAAAGGTGCCAGGGGGAGCAGGTAAAAGTAAGGGAGCAGCACAGTATGCCAAGACAGAATGCCAGTGCCTATGAGTTTTGATGCTGCTCTCTCTTCTTCCTATCCTCTCTTTCCTCTGCCTTCCTTTGTCTCTCTCTGCTTGCTCTCTCTGTCCCAGACGCTGCCTCACTGCCTGTCTCCCCACTTCAGACTGGGGGGGCTGGTGTAAACACATGTCTGCCTGCAGCCCCCCCACCCCATGCTTTCTTTGCTGCCATTGGTTGCTGGGCGGGTGTAAGGCTGCACCAGCTCAGTGACTGGGCAGAGACTCCAGCATCTCAGACAGTACCAGCCCAGAGACATTGTATCACAGTGTGTGTATATGTGACAGTGTGTGCAGCCATGTGTGGCTGACAGACAGCCAGCACGTGTAGCTCTGTGTGTGGGGGGCACAGACTGCTGCCCAAGTTCACATGTGCATGACACTGTGCCAACCTGTGATTGACACTGGCATTAGGGAAGTGTGTATATACAATAGCCTGGCACAGCATCTTGTGAGTTGTAATTGTTAGTTGACCACCTGCTCTGGACTAACCAGGTATCTTTTGGAGCCTCTCAACATGATAAGGGATGAAATGTAATGCAGGGAATTATTTAGTGTTATTTTGTAATTCACTGTTTACTTAATAATCCCCATTGATTCTCGAAGAGGCACTGTGGAGTCCAATGACATCATCACATAAAAATAGTATCTTAAAAATGCAGTCATTACAACACTTTTATGTTACACAGCACTACAACATGGGGTACAGCGGTGTACCCCTGCTGTCACCCCATTGTTCTTTAAACGAAAGAATATAACAGTATAGCAATTTACCTGCATCCACAGTGAAAAAGCTGTGAACTCTAATTACCACCACTCTTAGCCAGGCTGTGTCGTCTAGCTAAGAATGCTGATAGTTGGAGTTCTCCGCCATCTACTCCTGAATTAGCACAGAGAGTGCAACGCTCTGAAAAGTTGCACAAAATTGATAACGCTAAAGATAATGAGAATTCCTGCTTTAGTTGTATGTAGAAGACTGAAAGGAGGGCAAGAGCCAGGGGGGCCCAGGTAAGTATTAGTTCATAAACAGTTTGTCTCATCGCCATGGGACGGTGCTACAGTGGTTATGGTGCTTAGAGTGCCTTTATAATATATTGTTGACCTATGACTCGCCGAGAGTCCTGATTCACACCTGAGAATCTGGTTGGAGAGCCGGCCTCCCAACATTCCCAGTTATGGCGGGACAGTCCAGATTTTAGAGTCCTGTCCTGCAGTCCCGCTTTTTGGGATTTTAGGGAACTGTCCCCAAAAAATATAGCGTGAGTGCCTCAGAGCACTAGGACCCCGCGGAGAGCGCTGAATCAGGCAGAGTGGCGTGCAGACATTCTGCCAATTCTTCGGGCAGACTCGCCCACTCCCTGGGCATGTCAGCCCTCTGTGGGCAGTGCCAGTGACGCGATTCACGACACTGTCCACGTCCCATTTACCCCCTGCCATCCCGCTTTACCAGGGTATGAGAAAACGTTGTATAAGCACATCTTCTCAAGCGTTCTTTCCACAATACTGCACGGTGGCACGCACCCTCAAAGTGCCCAAACACACAGCATCATGGGAATTACATTAATTTACTTTCTCTGCCAGGAGAGCGCCACTTCAGTCTTGCATATATTGTATGCAATGTGAATAAGCAAGGAAATTAAATGTATTTATTTGAAAAAAATAAAAATAAATATGCATTACCCATACCTAACTATTATTTAGATATTAGGTTCTGTGTAATTTTATTTAGCCTTATGATTGGCCGAGTCATTTTCTGGTCTGAGCAGAGCTCACTGCAAATGATGCAAAGCCTTGAGATTAATATAAACAGGGGCTTCAAATGTAAGTATCGTAAATAGTATTAATCTTTTTAATTTTCTGTTTTTATATACATTTCAATGCATTCTTTAAACAATGCATTAAAAAAACAAAACAAAAAAAAACAGACTAACTCCAACTTGGGTGTTTATTAAAGGGACTCCATTAACTCCAAATGTGATATGGGTGGGATGTACATTATTCACAGCAGATTTAAAGGAACAAGTAACCCTTTACATCGGGGGTGCCCAAAATGTAGATTCCCAGGTGTTTTTAAACTACAGCTACCATGATGCTTTGCCATTCTATAGGCATGCAAAGCATCATGGGAGTTGTAGTTCTACAACATCGGGGGATCTACCTTTTGGGCACCCCTGCTTTACATGCTGTGCTGAAGAGTAGCCATTTAATATTCTGACGATGCCTTGGCTCAGAAACCTGGAAAAAAAAAAACCTGAGTCATGCTGGTGAATTGTGGAAAGCCATATAAGCCAATGGCAGTGTGTAAGACGGCATTTTATGAGGTAATATATGCTTCCCAGGCATCACTGGGTTAACATTATAGAGGTTAATTACCATACTGTGATTAGTGATGTCCTGGCAATCATATCGTAAACGCTTTTTTTCTATTTTAGGCTTATTTCAATGGATCAATTGTCAGTGCAACATAATGCACTGTTTAGAGAATAAATTCCTTTAGTTTTGCAAATAGCATAACTCCCAACAATAGGGGGGAGTGGGGTGTATGAATTTGGGCAGTGAAGAGAGATGTCCCTAAAAGGGGACGTGTCAGCCTCTTTGGCTACCCTCAGTCAGGGATTACTAAATGCAGGGTGCCCTGACATTAAATTATTAAAGGGACACTATAGTCACCACACCAACTACAGCTTTTTGTATTTGTTATGGTGAGTATTATTAGCCCCTGCAGGCTTTTTCATGTAAACACAGTTTTTTTCAGAGAAAAGGTAGTGTTTACATTACAGTCTAGGGACACCTCCACTGGCTACTTCACAGGCGGCTGCTAGAGGTGCTTCCTGGGGCAGTGCTGCACAGTGTAACTGATGTTCAGTGTCTCCACCCACTGCATGGAGACACTAAACTTTCCTCATAGGGATGCAGTGATTCAATGAGGAAATGCTGATTGGCTAGGGTGGCATTTGGCTCCACCCCTCTCCACCTCCTTGGCTGAGATCATCAATTCTGATGTCAGCCAAGGAGGCTGATCGACGCAGGTCAAGTAACAGGAGACTCGTGCCGAGCTGGAAATAAGGTAAGTTTTCTTATTATTTAAGGGGGCAAGGGTGGCTCAGGGAGCCTACATGTGGTTTTAACACTATAGGGTCAGGAATACACGTTTGTGTTTCTGACCCTGCAGGATTCCTTTAACCACTTAAAGACCACACAATGGCATACGTCATCTTCCGGTATTTGGGGTTCCCTCTGTCAATTGGGGGCCACAGTTAGTAGCCTCAGATTGACAGGGGGACTATGGGCAGTGCTCAAACGAGTGTCACTGATGTTTAGTGCTCATAGCCCTTTAAATACTGTGGTAGAGTGATCGCACTAGCGCAGTAAATGTAAAAATTATTTACCCCCCCAGCCTGGTACAGTGTCTGATATGACCATGCTTGCCCCTGCAAATTCCTCTGTACTGTGTGGGCTAGGAAATCCCTCTGCTGATGTCAGTACTGAGATTGAGATCAGCAGAGGGAAACCCTTGAAAAGTGGGATTAGGGGGTGGGATAATAAATTGGTCTATGAGTTAGATTACAGGTTGTATTATTTGTAGGATTAGAGATTGGATTATGGGCAGGATTAGAGGTTGGATTATGGTTTGGATTGGAGGTTGGGCTGGATTATGGGTAGGATTAGAGGTTGGGTAGGATTAGAGGTTGGATTATGGGTAGGATTAGAGATTGGATTACAGTTTAGATTAGTGGTTGGATTAGAGGTTGGATTATGGGTAGGATTAAAGATTGGATTACAGTTTAGATTAGTGGTTGGATTAGAGGTTGGATAGGATTAGAGGTTGGGTTATGGGTTGGATTAAGGGTAGGAAAACAAGTTAGATCATGGGTTTGATTAGGGTTTGGATTATGGGTAGGATTAGAGGTTAGATTATGGATTGGGTTGGATTATGGGTAGGATTATTGGTTGGGTTGGATTATGGATAGGATTAGAGATTGGATTATGGGTTAGATTAGAGTATGGGTAGGATTAGAGGTTGGATTATGGGTAGGATTAGAGATTGGATTACAGTTTAGATTAGGGTTAGGTTTAGGGGGTTGGATTATGGGTAGGATTAGAAATTGGATTACAGTTTAGATTAGGGGTTGGATTAGAGGTTGGGTTATGGGTTGGATTAAGGGTAGGGAAACAAGTTAGATCATGGGTTGGATTAGGGTTTGGATTATGGGTAGGATTAGAGGTTGGATTATGGGTTGGGTTGGATTATGGGTAGGATTAGAAGTTGGATTATGGGTAGGATTAGAGGTTGGATAAGAGATTGGATTACAGTTTAGATTAGGGGTAGGATTAGGGGTTGGATTATGGGTAGGATTAGAGGTTGGATAAGAGATTGGATTACAGTTTAGATTAGGGGTTGGATTATGGGTAGGATTAGAGGTTGGATTACAGTTTAGATTAGGGGTTGGATTAGAGGTTGGGTTATGGGTTGGATTAAGGGTAGGGAAACAAATTAGATCATGGGTTGGATTAGGGTTTGGATTATGGGTAGGATTAGAGGTTGGGTTGTATTATGGGTAGGATTCGAGATTGGATTATGGGTTGGATTGGGTTATGGGTAAAATTAGAAATTTGATTATGGGTTGGGTTGGATTATGGGTTAGATTAGAGGTTGGGTTGGATTATGGGTAGGATTAAAGGTTGGGTTGGATTATGGGTAGGATTAGAGGTTGGATTATGGGTTAGATTAGAGGTTGGGTTGGATTATGGGTAGGATTAGAGGTTAGATTATGGGTTGGGTTGGATTATGGGTTAGATTAGAGGTTGGGTTGGATTATGGGTAGGATTAGAGGTTGGATTATGAGTAGGATTAGAGATTGGATTACAGTTTAGATTAGGGGTTGGATTAGAGGTTGGATTATGAGTAGGATTAGAGATTGGATTACAGTTTAGATTAGGGGTTGGATTAGAGGTTGGGTAGGATTAGAGGTTGGGTTATGGGTTGGATTAAGGGTAGGAAAACAAGTTAGATCATGGGTTGGATTATGGGTAGGATTAGAGGTTGGATTATGGGTTGGATTGAAGGTTGGGTAGGATTAGGGGATTGGTTAGGGGT